GAAATACATAGGATGAGCAGGAGTACAGGGTTAGTGAACAAGGTCAGGGAGTAAAAGTGTTTTTTTAGCCTGGATTCGAAGGCAGAAATGGACGGGGCAGATCTAATATCCATCTGGTATCCTCCCCCTATAAAACCCTGTTGCTTGTCTCCCGTTTTTACTCAGCGTTTCTTAGAAGGTATCCTTCTGCAAAAGTCTTTTTTTTACCGCCGTCAGGTGTTGCAGAAGAATTTGTCATCATGTCTTCACGTTTGTCTTCCTGTTGTCACGAAGAGGAAGCGTGTAAGAAAACCTGTAGCACTGATTTGTGAGGCTCCAGCTGGACTTGATCTTCTGGGACTCACCTGTTCGCCTCTGCCCAGGGGTGCGGTTGGGGCGTGTTCCCTGTTGTGTCTTCACGGACGCCTCTCTAACCAGGTGGGGCAGGACCCCTTGACCCTTGACCCCTGACCCATGGCAACCTGCTGGAGCTCACAGCTAAAAGGGAAACACAACACTGCATCTCATCCCTTCGGCCTTCGTCTGGTTTTAACCAATAGCGAAGCCCGTTAGAGGCCCGGAGCATGTGTGAAATAGAAATAGTAGTTACCTGGATGTAACTCCAGTTCTATGAGTACGTGCTTAATGTGTTTTAAACATCAACATTTATTATATAGTCTATACAAATAGTGAAGAATGTGCATCACAGTTTCCCAGTGTCGAGTCGATGTCTTCAAATATCTTGTTTGTAAAGCTAACACCAGAATTTGTTTTTTGTTTTTGCTTTAAAAAATGTGATTTTATAAATTTCTCTAACAATTGTTTGGTTCACCAACAGTCCAAAGCCAAAGATATGCGAATGAGCGATATCTGTCGGAGCCGTTTGGGACGTTTTTTTAAGTACTTTACTAGAAAAATAATTAGAAAATTTGACTTATTCCTTGTTTTTGTTGTGTTAACAACAGTGATGTCAGAAAATATGGAATATGAAACCATCTTTGCTCACTATATCTTATCCTGTGTACATTAACCTCAGGTCGTGAACTTATTTTTGACATGACAAGCAGGTTATCATTGGAACGGCTCACTTATTTTGTCTTAAAAATGATTTTAAATGATTATTTCTTATCACAATAGTTGAATATTGATTTTCTGTCAGCAGTTTGAGCTCTAACATTACTCAAACAGCCTCAAGCAGGGTTTTGGCTGGTGTTGTGATAGAGGCAGACTGCTTATTTCCTGAGTGCTAACCACTGTGAAAGAGAACCGCAGTGTCATGTTGAACCTGTCATTTCGTTCTTCTATTTTGTTTTTGCAAACAGAAGACGCAGAGTAGAAAGTTGGAGTTTCTCCTCTTTTAAAAAGAGAGATTCTGTGACGACTGCCCCCGTCGATGCTCCATGTGACCGTTGGATGTTGAGCCGCGTGCTCAGCAGATCTCCGTCTCCTGCATCCCTGTTTACTCTGTGTGGTATCTGATGTTTTGATAGCAGTCACAAGTCTATTGACAGTCTGGGAGGTTTTGTAAAGCTACAGTAAGCAATCCCTCCCTGGAAGTATCAGTTTCCACGTCTCCTCAAATAACCTGTGAAAGCATCAGAGAATAAGATGATGACCAAAGAGGTGACGACAGGAGCTGAAACAACTGAACCTCTGTTCTCGGGAAAACTAGCTCTCTGCTATTGTATTTTCCATTCATGGGGAAGTAGAAATCTGCTTGCATTTTGAACGTGACAAGGGTTCCTGATTTAGACCGACAGTTGTTGCCTAATTGCGTTTGGTCGTTTTGTTGTACAATATGTTTGGGTTTCTTCTTCAGAGCAACATTTGTTCCTGTTAAGAACGTGTAGAAGACACCCAGTGTTGGGGAAGTAACAAGTGACTTGCTCGGAGTTGTTGATGCAAATCATTGACCAGGAACTTACGTGGGTCTAATTTTAAATCACAAGCTAGTTAATGTAGCTAATGTATACAGCAAGAGAACGCCAAATGGGTTTAGTTTTAAGTTCATCATAAAGAAACGCAGTATCCAGATAATGTTTAGAAATAAAAGTATGTATCAGTTTAATTAATGAACAGACATCTACTGGATGTTAATAGGTTCTCTCCATCTGACATGAAACGATTAATCAATTAGTTGATTGACATTTTTTGGTGAGCAATTATCTGTCGTTTGTCAAACAGAAATACTAAACTTTGCCAGTTCCAGCTTCTTAAATGTGAGGAATTTATGTTTTTCTCTGCCATATATATTAGTAAACGAAATATGTTTCAGTTTTGGACTTTTGGTCGGACAAAACGAGCGATTTGAAGTCTTGTATTTATTTATTTTTATTCACAGTTTATTTATAATCTATCTATGTTATTAGTTAAATCATGAATAACCATTAGTTGCACCCTTATTCTCCATATTCTCTTTGACTGTTTGTAACTTTAAGAAATCCTTTCTGTTGCTGTCACGGCTATTGAAGTTATTCAGAAATCAGATAACAGTCCTGACCATCAGATCAGTCACACTTTAAAGAAGTGTGCCCCTGTTCTTTTTTACTTTCTTTCCCCTGGGATAGTCCTGTGTACTGCAGGTTACCAATTAACTTCGTCAGCTCTTCTTCTCGCAGTAAAACATAGAGAAGGGTGAGGCTTACAATAAACTACACAATACACAATACTACTATTTATAATACTAATGGCATCCTGTCAGTCAAGTCACCTATCACTTAATAAATATCAATATTTGTGCCCCAAATGACTACTGAATGTTTTTAATCACTGCGTTATCCAGCTTGAGCAAAGTAAAGACCCGTTCCCTCTTTTGCGTCACTCCAGGGTCAAGTGATAAACACCCGTCGTCTTTCTGAATTTTGCAAATCCATGCTATAAAAATGTCGCTTGCCTGTCTTGGGTTCAAAGTTTCAAAGTTTTCCTCCAGCTTTTTTTTACAAGGGCATAAAAAACCTTTTTTATATGTGTCACACAAAGTCGCAGTGAGTTTTCCAGGTTGCTATTTCCACTAGACACACAGCAGTATCCGAGCAGAACTGAAATCTGACACTCGCGCCATTACAAGAGGCCGATGAACTGGTTCCTTTGTTGAAGACATTTAATTTCGCTGCCTGAATCTGAGATATGGACGTGGATCCTAATGTGTCGCCTGTCAAATTCATGTTTCTTTCTGCAGCTGTCCATTGACATTCACACACAATCAAATATTGCTGGATCACGGGAGTTTAGAGCAGCACTGTACCGTGGCACTGATCCATGGAATTTCTTTTTATATCTTCTTGGACTTTGTGAATTTGTGGGTTTTAGTTGTGTGGCTGTTTACAAGACTGGATGTTGGGACTGTCTCGTTCATAGAATGAATAGCTGCTTACTTACTGCATCCTGTTGAAGATTTGCATCCTTTTCAGAGCTTAGTGTGCGCTCGCAGTGTTGACACGCCCCTATTCAAATTACAGTCAGTGGGGGTAATTTAGCTCTTCCTGCTACGCCAAATGATTACTGTGAACCGCCTGGCAAAACCTCCACTCATGGGGACCAGTATCAGTATCAGATGTAAATCAGACAAACAACCTAAAGGAATCCTTTCATCACGTTGAACTGAAGCTGAACTGATCCATTAGGTTGTTCAGGCTCTTCATCAGAACCTTTTTCCACTATTAGTTTTCAAGTAAACGAGTCTTGGAGCACAATTATGCAGATTTCCCCTTTTGTGGCGTTTTCCACCATGACACCAGCATCTTCTTCTTGTGATCAAGCAGTCCAAGCTGTCCGATGTGTTTTTCCTGCCCGGCAGGATAATGCAGCAGAGGCTGATTGAGGCTCACATATCTGACTCTCGTGATAGGAATGTTTTCAGTTGGGATGTCATAAAACAAGTTTTCATTTCAACAATTAAAATGATTCAACATCTATGACTGTCCCGCCTTACTTTTGAATTCAAATGTTATTCAAATAACCCTGAGCTGGTGGCATCAATGCTGTGCCACAACTCAGACCCTTTCCTCTTCACTCTCTCCGCTGCGATTATACATGATTAACTGACATGAACTAATGTGGATTTAGTCAGTATGGACAGCAGCGTGTTGTCTGTGATAATGACACCAACTGGATTTTATTGTTTGTCCTCCTGGCGTCTGTTCCAGGAAACAACAATGACATTTCTTTTCCAGTAATAAACAGTCACGCCTGTAGTATTCTAGCACCGGTGAGTAAATGAACTCCCAGTACAAGATCTTTCACAAGGAGTAATCCTCCAGTCTGGTCTCCAAACTTTGTTTCACCAGGCGTCTTTAATAACAGCATTAATAACAAGCACATCATGTTTAATTAGAAGAGTGGTTTAAAAACACAAGAGCAACCATTTACAGCATACTGCCCTTATAAACACACATAATTAGCTGATACATAGCCTGTTCAGCCAGCGTCAGTAAGCAATACACACATTATTAAACCATTAATTACACCAGTAACTAACCGCAGTCAACGTCAGTCAACCTTATAATTTAGCAGTTGTTTCTGTGGCGACAAAACGTTTAAAAAATATGCATATTAACAGTTTGAAATAAACTTTTTGTTTTATTCCCTCAACTCTAGCCGCGGTCTTTCACTGAGAGAGGATTGTGGGAATGACCATTTCTCCACACAGGGGGCATTTGTGTGCAATCTCTCAAAATGAGAAAGTGAAAAATCAGGGCTAAAATCACGTAGTGTGAACTGATAACCCATAAAAGATTCCTTTTGTCTTCCTCCTGTCTCTGAACGTTTCCTCGTTCACTTCTGCTGTAATTCATTAACTCTGAAAACATGACGCATAAAGACTCTTCATTGCTTCCCCTGAATAATCTTTGTTTTTATGCACACCTCCTTCCCCATATTCTCTGGGCATAAGTACAGTACACTCAGATTTAATCAGCAATACATTTCCTTGTGGCCGATCTGCAGTTTAAGTGCCATTGCAAAAGGGAATGATAAAGCACTGTGTCCTTGATAATCTGAAACCAAACATAGAAGTTGCTGATTAATGTTACACAATGACGGCGTGCCAGTCGGTAAAGGTTATTGTACTGTATGGGTGGGATTAATTCACCTTGCATTAAAAGCTATTGAAAGCTAAATTAACTGACTTGCTGTGTTCCTCTTTTCTTTTCCCAGGGGAACCTGCTCAGTTTGATCCATCATTCAATGGACCCATAAAGAAAAGGTGAATCTGTGACTCTTTTTTTTAAATCCCCAAATCCTCAGTCTAGCTGTAGGGTACACTGTGTGGGTATTTGTGCTTTCAAAGAAGACGTTTTGTTTGCTGAGTTTCACCCGAGGCAAATGTCAACGCAGAGCTCGGCCTGCTCACTTTTACCTGCTGCTGTCTTTCTTTTTTTCCATCAGAGGGTGCACTGATATAATCTGCTGTGTCCTGTTCATGGTCGTCATCCTTGGCTACGTAGCAGTTGGCATATTAGGTGAGAGTAACCTGACGACACCAACACAGGCCTTTTGAATCGACACTGACTGATATCACAATCAGCCATTGTGTTCCAACATCTCCTCTCTGTGCCCTTCTTGTCCATTCTCTTTGTTCCTCTGCCCTTGTACCTCGTTTTCATGTCACATTTTTGTCACTCAACTCCCACCCTCGGTCTCTGTTGCCTTTCTTAAAGGAACAGGGGAATGTGGTTATTTTGCTGGGGGTTAGATGAGAAGATTGATTCTCTTACCTTTACAACATGATGTTACAGCTAGCAGCAGGTTAGCTCATCATAAAAACTGGAAACATTAGGAAACAGCCCGCCTGTCTCTGTGCCTTTTTTTTTTTTTGGTAATCAACACTTTTTATCTTGTTTGTTTTTAGTAGTAGTAGTTTAGAGTATTTTTTTTGGCCCCGGAGCTGTGACTTCCTGGTGTCTCGGCTGGTTGCCTGGCAACTTCACGGTGACGACAAGACTCCAGGAAAAAAAACAGATTTTTTTTTACTGATTAAACAAATGAGATGTGATATGTTAAATAGTAAACTTTAGAGGTGCTGGTAGGTAGATTTTCGTTACCTTTGGACAGAGCCAGGCTTGCGGTTTTTCCCCCAGTTTCATGTCTTTATTGCTATATGATGAACTATTCCTTTAATGTAGCCGTTCCTGTCACTCTCCAATGCTTCATCGCACAACACCACAGTAAAAGGCAGATTACCTCACCAGTCCCCCACAAGGGTGACCTCTGTACATCTTACATTAACCAAAGTCTTGCCAGGTGATCAAAATAACTCTACGGTACCAGTTCCAGTGCCTTCTTATGTATTGTAGATCCTAACTAACAAAGTAAACAAGCCGCCACAACTGTCACAGTTTCACAGTTAGCTCCATTAAAGCTCCCTTAAACTGTTTGTGGGTTTCTTTGACCCCACACTATGGCTTGCTTTATACGTCCACTACCCCAAACCCCTTGATTTAATTCAGTTTTTATCTGTATTCACTGCTTTTGTAGTACATCTCTAATATCAAAGTTTATCTCTAGGTTTGTTTTATTCTCTCCTGATATCTCTGTATTCATTTGGTGCAATTATTAACCCATATACTTTGATTCATCATAAAATAAAGTATTACTATTATTGAGTTAAGGTCCGAACAGCTGATTTCTATGTCAGCATTCAGCTCTTTATTGCCGTGTCATCAAACTCATTCCAACACTGAGGGACCTCTCTTATCTAGAGTCAACAGAGAGTCCTGATAGGTGGTGCATTCACCTCCTGCGTCAGCGGCTGAGTGTGTCCCAAAATGATTTCCTCCTTGGAAGCAGTTCAGTTTGGTTGGCCGCGGTGGAGCTGTTGTAGTGATGGAGAAATCTACTGGACACTGTTAGCACATAAAAGGCATTTATTAACAAAATATTCGATTTCTAAATTCACATGAGACACAGTGGTAATAACAGTCAAAATAGTCGAGGGATTTAACACCTCTAGCCTGTGTGTACAACCTGTTAGTAGAACAATACATTACATTTTATACATTTACATATCATTTCATTACAATCATGTCAACAACAAGTGCATTCAAACCAAACAAAGCGGGTTCATCCTGTCAGACAGACTGTTGTGCCCTCTTGTGGTTGAACTGAAGTAATCCATTCATTGCTGGTCTTGACCTAAATTATATGACCTGAATATGGCATTGTAGTTATATTGCCACTGCAAATGTTTTTATTCTAGTTAATGACATACTTTATTTTGACAGGTGGTAACAAAAAGGGGAATTTGGGACCCAGTCTGAGCATTAGAGACTGGTTTTTCATGTTGATAAAGCATAATAAACGTAGATAAAATGTCCTAATCAGTTAACAGATAACCCGTATTTCCCACCTCCGTCAATAAATAAGTGGATCTTTTTCACATCCCTCCCTAATGCAATACAAGTGCAGTTTATGTAAGTAAAAACATGCCCTCATGTAGTTGTACCGTTTGTCAGTGCCAAACACAAAGTGGTCGTAATGGAGCGTGACTAACTTGCCATTATCTTTTACGTCATTGGCTTTTCTTATCTCTGTGTGTTTGTTTGTTTTCTATCAGCTTGGCTCTATGGAGATCCTCGACATGTTCTATACGCAAGAAACTCAACTGGATGGTTCTGTGGTACTGGACCAAATAAGTAATTGAATCTCTCTCTTTCCCTTACATGTTGTTATTCGTACATTTGTACTTGATATAATAAATATACAAAATCAAGCTAACTCTTTCTTTCTGTCTTTCTTCTCTCAGAGACAAACCGAACTTGTTCTACTTTGACATTCTCAAATGTGCCACGTCTGTTAATATTATGGCATCTTCTCTTAATGGTTTTCAGTGTCCAACCACACAGGTAGAGAAGGCTGCTTGATTTCCGTTGTTTCCAATGATACTGGACTCTATCTCCCAGTGTCTCACAAATAATCCTTTTTTCCCACTACCTACAGGTGTGTGTGGAAACTTGCCCCAATGACTTCTGGGCTGTGGATGTACTGGCATATCTTCCAAACGTAAAGCCAGCAAACGTGTTCAATCAAAGCCTCTGTGTGCCATCCATAGACCTGGCAACTACTGACTTAGTAAGTCCCATTTTGCTAACCATGCGTAAACCTTTTGTGTCTCCCTGTGAGTTGCCAGTTGCAACACTTGTTTTGATTTCTTTTGGAAAAGGAAATATTTAGGCGCCAGATGTTCCGCAAAAGTAACCTGACACTTTGTTCCATTCATAAAACCATTATTGTATGTTATTCAGAAAGTTAAAGAAATTGTGGACAAAGAGCTGTGTCCTTTCTTCTACATGCCCACAACCTCTGGTGAGTAAAACTACACACTATATTGTGTTCATTTTCATTTTGGTCTGATTACATTCCATTCATTTCAAGCTAATTTGATGTGATTATTTTCTCTACTCTTAGTGCTGGGGAGATGTTTGCCCGATATCACGGCACTGGGGAGAATCCCTTCATACTTTGCCAATGTTCCGGGCTTACCGTCCTCAGTCAATGACACAGTCAGCATACTGAAGAACGGCACTGGGTGAGTAAGATACAGCGGATTCCTGACCTCATCGCATGTTGATTTAAAAACAAAACTAACTGCACACACGAATACCTGCGCACACTTTAATAACCCTATTTCTGTCTCCTCCTCATCACCAGCTCAGGGTAGGTGGCTTTGTGAGTTTTTTGTCGATGCGTAGTGTAGCAGTTGGCTGTGGTTAGTCTTGTTGCTGTGTATAACTCTGTTTTATGCACAGCAGCCGTAGATGTCGTGTGAAACGCTTTCTTGGGACTTGCAGAGTTCGAGCATTAATGTCTAGTTTTATTTTCTCTATGCTGAGTGTCTGGGATTATCTCTATCTTTGTTTGTGTTATAAATATATTTAGTTTTAGTTTTTCCTCGTTTCTTCACTGTATTTTTTCTACCCGACCCTTTGCTTTCCACCCTTTCTGTGTAAAAGGAGAACTGTTACCAACAGAGTGTGCCCTTGGTTTTTGTCTTCATTAGGGATATTGTGAATGGCTTTAATGCCAGAGAGATCGGCGTCCGAATCTTTGAGGATTTTGCGTCGTCATGGCCGTGGATCCTCATGTGAGTTGAACAGAACAGAACAACACTATAAATAAACCATAACTAAATACCTTTCTAAGGCCCAGCTTTATGAACATGCCTGACTGTCTGCTAAAAGTGTAGAGTTTATAGTGATTTTAACATGCATTAAAGAGCTAAAGAAAGAAAGTAGGTCTGTCCTGTCAAAGTTATTCTGAGGTGATGCTATTTTGTGCCACTAACATAACCTGACAATTCAGTTAACAGCTGTGTTTCTGGAGCCTCCTGCACACTGTGAATTTTTCAGATATTTATGGTTTGCTGAGGTTTTTATAACATTTCAGATATTTCTACTACTCTAAGTGTATATAATTAACATGCCTTGTTAAAATGTACAACTGAAGGTAGTAAATAGAGTATTGGTTGTTACCCAAGTTCTCTGGTTAAAATATGTAAAATGTTTTAGTTAATACATTTCAGTGGCCTGTAATTATAGCAGAAGCTTAGTGTCAAGTATGGTATATGTAAAGGGACATTGTATACTACTTTTGAATTACACTAGATGTGAATAGTAATGTTTCAACCAGTGGTATACTATATTAAACACATTTTAATTATTTAATTTATTAAATACAGAAACAATAACTAACTAGATTGAAAATGTGCTTTATTCAAACAATATTAAATTAAGTGATGGACTCTGGGGAACTTAAGCAAGGAACTGAAGGAAACAGAAATAACTGATATGCATAGGGAAGAAATGTGTTTACATGGTTTTGAGCCAAAAACAACCAGAGAAGCAATTTGGAAGGACACAAAACGCACCGTCCCCTCATTGCTCTTATTTTACCTGCTTGATAAAAGTTACATTTCTGTTACTGGAACCCATAATAACTGCACATACACTGCCACCTGCTCTCAGACAGACAGATAGAAAGTACTGAGATTGAATTACGAATCGAATCCCATCTCAGTGGTTTTGATGAGTTTTTCCAAATGTTTAAGTTTCGTTAATATGCTCAGTTATTTTACAGAACTTGAACATTTTGTGTATCTCATAACTACATTGTCTTACAAGTTATATCAATGTGACATTTTTATCCTCTCCTTTTTTGTTTTCTTCATAACTCTCATCCCCCTCCTGCCCACCTCTCTCCTCTCAGTGGTCTGCTAATAGCAATGGTGGTCAGTATGCTGTTCCTGTTGCTGCTGAGATTCACAGCTCCAGTCATGGTGTGGGTGCTCATCATAGGAGTCCTTGCTGCTGGAGCATATGGTAAACACTCGCTGGGGTAGTTTTTAAGGGAAACTGTGTTTTCCATTTGTAGAATTTGTTTTTTCATTTTCTTTGGTACTATTTCTACCATTCTTTTGTACTTGGAAATGCAGTTGCACACGTGGAACAGAAAGCCTGCAGGTGCAATTATATACCTGGATAAATAACTTTTCCTATTAGAAGTTAGCAGCTGACTCTCACAAATTAATTCTGCACCTGTGCTGATTCTGAAGGGAAACAGGTACTGAATAAAGCATATTCAGATCTTTTTCCTCCTGAATTAGAAAATGTTTTGCTGGCCCTGTGTGTAACTTTGCTTATTAATAGCGGGAGCAAAAACATTATAGTCTTAGTTATTTACTGGTTTTGAATGCAAAGTTTATTTGCTATGAAAAGATTTTATTTTCCTTGTAGCCTCTGACCTGTTGGAGTGTTTGTCTTGCAGGGATATGGCACTGCTACTGGGAGTATGATAACTACAAACAAGCCTCTGCTACCATATCTGACATTGGGTTTACCACCAACTTCAAAGTTTACCTGCAAGTCCAAGAGACCTGGCTGGCCTTCTGTGAGTGTGATTGAAATGCTTTTGATCCTAATTGACTTGACCATGCGCTATTTCACCTGTGTCAAATATTTCTTTAGTTTAACTTTGCCCGGTGTCCTATTAGCATTTTGCAGGGAGAGTTTTGTGCACATCAAAAACCTAATTAAGTCAGATTAAGTCAGGCTGTATTTCAACCAAGCAGCTTTTACTTAGGGTAAATTCCAGTACAGAGGAATTGAGAGGTATAAAATGGAAAACACCAATAACATCATAAATGCCAAATCACAGTCATGTGTTAAAACATCGATATCATAACATTGTAAGCAGATAAATGAATGCAATAAAACCATTGTTGGCATACACATGAGTCGAATGACATGTTTACCACTTGTAAAATGCTTCTGATAAAAGATGACCCAGATTCAAGCGTTATGGCTCGTTGCATCCGTTTATAATACTCATATTGGATATTTCTTATTTTTTCTGTTTTACTTTTTTAGTGCACAAATGTTAACAATAACACACACAGAGGAAAGAGAGTGAGAAAGTTAATTAAAAATAGAATAAAGATGATGTGTGTAGAAGATTTCCACAGTAAAAATGAAGAGTATAGTAGTTATTGGTGTATGGAGTAGAATGTTATGGGACATGAGAAGCGTATGGGCGACTGTGTAGTGATCCAGTTGTGTGTGTGTGGGTTGACCGTGTGAGTATGGTGTGTATTGGTTGTGTATGGTGTAGGAGGATGCAACAATAATCCTTCTTGTCACTCGTGTCTCATTCTCCTCCTCTTCTCCCCCTCAGTGATAATCATATCTGTGGCAGAGGCGATCATTCTCCTGACCATAATCTTCCTGCGGACCAGAATCCTCATAGCCATTGCTCTCATCCAGGAGTCCAGCAAGTGAGTCATGATGTGATGCAGTCAAATTATATCATCATTATATTAAGAAGAACTTACAATAATGATCATTTTGAGGGGATTTTTTTCTGAAACCAAATTTTTGTGTAATCAGTGAGTCTTCAAATTGGTTTGTATGATACTGTAAAGAGGCCATCATTGTATTTATTTGTTTATTTGATGGAGACAGAGCTTGTTAATGCAAATTTACCCCCTTAGCCCCTAGGTAGGTAACAGAAACAAAAACATTACAAATGACAATATACAGATATACAGTACAAAGGTAGAAAAGAAGAGAAAGTTAAAAGTGATCACAGTTTTGATTTTCCAAGTCATTTATTGAGATTGGTCTTAAAAGTGAAATATGTAGGGCACTCCCTTATTGCTGGTTGGCCATTCCAGTATTTACCTCCCTTTACTGATAGTACAGTGTGTCCAAATGTGGTGTGCTTATTTGACTGTGAAAAAAAAAAAACACTTTACTGTGTTTAAGGCCTTTTTCTTGGCGTAACCTCATAATGCATGTGTTCATATTCCACAGGGCAATCAGTCACATGATGTCCTCTCTGTTCTACCCTCTGGTCACCTTTGTTCTCCTGCTGGTGTGTGTCGCTTACTGGGGTGCCACTGCTTTGTATCCTTTTTAAATTGTTAATGTGTATATGTCATACACCGTGTGTTCATTTACAATATAACTTCTACGATCCAGAGTATTGGTTCTTCTCTTAAACTGATGTGTGTAGATATCTGGCCACCTCAGGAAACCCAATCTACAGAGTGGTGGCTCTCAACTCCACCATGACCGACTGTAAGAGTATCAACGGCTCTGTGGACTGTGACCCTCAGGTAAGCGGGCAGAATGTGAACCTAGTGTGGATACACATTGTGACCTACAGTGAACCTTCTCACATTCCACAGTGGACGTTGTTTGAGGTCAGCTGTCAGATCACACACTGTTTACTCCCTCTTCCTGTCCCTTTTCACTTTCTTCTCCTCCTCTCAGAACTTCACTTCATCAGATTACCCAGGCTGCCCCTCAGCCAGCTGCATCTTTATCAAATACAACGACGAGGGTCTCTTCCAGAGGAACCTCTTCAACCTGCAGATTTACAATGTGGTGGCTTTTCTCTGGTGTGTCAACTTCGTCATCGCCTTGGGGCAGTGTACACTGGCGGGGGCCTTTGCCTCCTACTACTGGGCCTTCACCAAACCAGGCGACATCCCCATGTTCCCTGTGTCTGCTAGCTTCATACGCTCGCTCAGGTAGGTTACTGAGCTGCTGTCACATCGGTTAAATTCCTGCAGCAATAAATGTGTCCATCACTGTCGAAAGTGTCCAAGATACTGAATGCCTGCAGTCCCTAAGGATGCCATTTCTGCAGTACTTCTAGTGACATGATTATATCATGTCCCGGTAGTTTGGATAAACTGTAAATCACAGGACGTATAACTGGCTGACTGCAGTTCCCTCTCTGGCTCCTAGAGGGCGCATTAGACCTACACATTACAGTTTGGGGGAAGCAGACCTCAGCTGCTAAACAATACAGACTGTAGCTGCTAAGGTTGTTTTACCAGCCACATTGACTGACAACTGATTTTTCATTTGACTTGAATGATGCAAGCTTTGGGATTCACTTGTGATGCTTAGATAATTTTATATATACAAATGATCAGTGAGACGTCATCATTTTGTACATTTTAGGTACCATGTGGGCTCCTTGGCGTTCGGTGCTTTGATCCTGACCCTGGTGCAGCTAGTGAGGATCATTCTGGAGTACATTGACCACAAAACAAGAGGTAAGGCTGACTGATACCTGTCCCTTGGCCTTATTTTCATGTTCCTTGGCCTTATTTCTTTTTTTATTTTATCTGCTATTTTTCTTTGTAAAGCACTTTGTAAAATTGTTTAGAGAAGTGCTATATAAGTAAAGTTTATTATTCTTATTATTATTAACCTAATTTCTTGAAATTAAATCCAGCCTCAATTTAAAATAAAATAGATTTATTTCCGACAACAAAACTAACAAAATGAACAGTAAACACATACAACAAATAAACTTAAACTTTCTCTCTGTCATGTCTCTTTACTTTGCTTCCAATTCTATTTTCCAAATGTCTTAATACTAAAGATGTGCTGGCTGTGTACATGTGAGAACATGTCTTCAGAAAAGAGACGGGGTTAGAAGTTTAATGCCATTTAAATGACGGGCTGCTTATACGTGTTTTGGCTTCTCATCTCCAGCGGCACAGAATCCATGTGCTCGTTTTTTAATGTGCTGCCTGAAGTGCTGCTTCTGGTGTCTGGAGAAGTTCATCAAGTTCCTCAACAGGAACGCTTACATCATGGTGAGCACAACATGTTTTTGTACAGTCCCTCCTATCTTAATTGTTGTAGTAATAATTAATGTTTGTGTTACTCTCAATGTAAATCATACAAAAAGAAAAAAACAGGATTAATTAAAATTAAAAATGACTTTTTCTACTGACTCCAAACCTAGAGGGAATAACAAAGTTTCTCCATCATACCTCAGTTTATACAATGTCACCATCAGTTTTAATATAATATATTGGATATTATTTGTATTACGTAGACCATTTTATTTTCCTAAAACAAGTCGATTGTGTTTCCTTGTCAGATCGCCATTTATGGGAAAAACTTCTGCGTCTCTGCCAAAAATGCTTTCATGCTGCTCATGAGAAATGTAATAAGGTTTGTACTGAAGTCTTGTTTGCTTTTCTAAAGGAGTTTTAGTCTGTATTTTCAATGCTTGTTGTCTGATCTGTCCATAATATGACTATATGCATGCTGTGTTTTGCGTTCATGTGTTTGAGAGACTCAGTGAGTAGTGTAATCTTGCTCTGACTCCGACTGTTTGTACCTCTCAGGGTCGTGGTGCTCGATAAAGTGACAGACCTGCTGTTGTTCTTTGGGAAGCTCCTGGTGGTCGGAGGAGTGGGTAAGGATGACACCATGCATTAGGAAAACGCAAGAAAATGTTAACAAATGTGTTTTTTTTTCTACTTCATTAAACATTAGCATTGCTTTGGAGTATTTTATTGGCCACCTGGCGAATAGGTCCAGTATTAACTCTCTTTAAGCTCTGATCTGGTCTAAACCAACTCCTGAGGGAACTATGTGCCTCTTTCGCTGCCTAATGGTTGTGCCTTTCGGGGCTGGGTAGGAAGTGTACAGTGAAGTTACCTGCATCCATTATACATATGAGCTACTGGTAATACATTACTATTAAAATAATAATCAGTGCAGCTTTAAAATAGATTTTATTTTAATGGACATACTGAAAATGGTGATGTGTTTCAATCTGAATTTTATTGTGTAGTAGAGATTTACACAATTATGGAATAATTAAACTCAACAGTGAAACTTAGCATATCAGTCCATATTATAACCAATATTTAGTAAATAAGTGAGAGATTTCTATATTATCCATATCCATAGGGAGAACTCAAATCATCACAAATATTAATGTGATACAATAGAACAAGATAAACTAAATGCATAAAGAAAATAATAAATAAATATAAATAAATAAATAAAATAAATACAATTCTGTTAATGGAAAGACATGAGACGGTGAAATCTCCATCTTTTTCCAGGCGTATTGTCCTTCTTTTTCTTCTCTGGACGAATATTACTGCCAGGCAACACCTTCCGCTCCGAAACCCTCAACTACTACTGGATGCCAATTATTGTAAGTTACAAACTGTCCCTCTCCGTTTCTGATAGTAGTCATTCAGACGCATCAGACTACTCAAAGTTGATTCTAAATCTTTTATTTTTACCCATTTCTTGTAGACGGTGGTGTTTGGTAGCTACCTCATAGCTCATGGATTCTTCAGTGTGTACAACATGTGTGTCGACACACTCTTCCTCTGCTTCTGTGAGTAGATGTTTACAGTTAATAGAGTGTTTATGAAAGCCTGTACATTCACATTATTGACACAGGAATACTGAGAAAAATAACAACTCCACCTTTGCCCACATGACCAAAAAGCACCTGTTTGCATGGATACTGCCAACATGGATAATCTTTATTTTGGTGGGGGGGAGATTTTGGAACATGCAAATACATGTTAACATCTCAATTTGAAGCTAATGAGCTAACTTAATTGAATACTACAATACACCTGGTCTGTTTCATCACTTCACTAAATGTGGCTCTCACCTTCACAGTGGAGGACTTGGAGCGTAATGACGGATCTCTACAGAAGCCGTACTTTATGTCCAAAAACCTCATGAAGATCCTCAACAAAACCAACAAAGCGCCAAAAAAGGGTAAAGGCAAGGACTGAAGATCATTTCACCTCCCTGACTTCATGAAACCACACAAACACTGTGTAACACATTTTCAGGATATCTTTATCTGCAGCTTTTGAATCCAATAACACTCAATCTATTTTTTTCCAGATAGGTTTACCAAAACTGATTTTGCACTTTTTTAATTATATATTTTTTTTTTATTGGGTATGTGCATAATATGTAGTATTAATGACTGTACACATGAAAGGACTGAGCATGTGAATGTGAATGCAGGTAATGTGAAATTTGAAGTTACATGGTGTCCTACATGACTTTTTGATTTGGCTCATAATTAATGAAAGTCCCAAAATATTTCTTCTGATATTTAAAATTTGTTTCCATTGATACGGCTCCATATTAACGCTGCACAACATTTTTATTCCAAATGTTTTAGACGGGTTTATCAGGGTTTTTAACTGGTTTGTCACTTAATCCAGTTAAATGCCTTTTAATGTAAGATTTAGGTTTTTTCTATTTTTGCTGGGAATCTTTTATAGACGACGATTTCTTCAGAAGGAACAAAAACTAAATGTTCTTAAACATTATATATTTTTAGATAGTATTTGTAAAAAGGCTTGTTTTATAAATAGAAAAATGTATATATCACCACAATGTTTTTGATTATATGGAAAGAAGGAAAATGTAATAAAGTTGTAAATATGAGTGTGTTTGGATGCCATTAACCTTTCAGGGTTTCTCATCCTTATATAGAGTCTCCAGTACGTGTAAACAGCCTCTGATCATTTTCTAATCTTTACACTGCACATCTGAGCTGATCAAAGATCAAACCTCATATTTAAAACCAGTCTCTGCAGGGACACAGTGAGCCAACTTTAATTGTGCTGGCTGTCCTACTGTAGTATATACTAATCATCATTTTCAATACTGCACAGATGATTGGTTCCTTACTTTTACAGTCAGTAAATCCCACCATCACCCACCTGACTGATTTCTTTTGTCTTCTAGGGCTCCACAGTCAGGTGACATTCAAACTTATCACATGTTAAATGCATTACAAAGCATTATGTGCTGGAAAAAAATGTATATAACTTTATTCTGCATTACAGGTTTGAAGTTATACAGCCATGATTGCACAAGGAAATGTCTCCTAATGCACGTGGCCCTGCAGAGACTGCTGCTGTGCGTGGTTATAGAATTATTCTATATGCCTTGTTTGATTGGACTTTTGCCTGTTATTTAACAGCCTTTAGATATATATATATAGATATATAGATAGATATAGATAGAGAGATATATAGATATTAATTAACTTTTTATTGTATTTGAATATGGTTGTTTTAATAGTTTTCTTTTTAAATTGGGAAGAATATTTATTTCAGAATATTTGAGCGTGTCCCTGTACTTTGTTGGTATGCTCTGCCACATTACCACATAATGAAATGTGACTAGTTGCCGTTGGCTAGTCCTTTTACTGTCCTTTGATAATATTAATTGTATATTAAATTGTAGATAATGACGACACAAGACAAGTCAGTGTTTTATCAAGTTTTAATCTCCTAGACCATTTGGTTTTGCACAATGTCTCCATGTTTAGTCTGTCAGAAGACTTGCAAATCGTGACTTCCATCACTTGTTTTAGTGTCACATAAGCCTCAATATTACAAAGTGTAGCTTGAACAGACAAGTATGCAAGAAATGACGAGCCCTGGCAGCCATCTTGTCCAACTCAGAGGGCATGGAGTTTCAGTGCTGACCCTGGTGTGAATAATAAACTGATTCATTAGACGTATCCTAGTTCAGATGCACACGGATTAATCCAAGACTAGAACATTTTTAAATTGAGAATCTCCAAGTCAAAGCCACAGAACAGGCTGAATCTTGGTCTTTTTTTTTTTTAAAAGCACATTTTGCTTCACAGTTGTGACACATGATGAATGTGTTACTTTTACAGTAAACAGGATTTTTAATGTGCACTGTCAGTTAAGAGAGAACAAGTCAGCTAAATCATCGTCAGTATCCTCATATCAAATCACATAAGCAGGGAAGGACAGACTTTTTTCCTTTTGCACTCATTACATTTATTTAAATTAATGGGACAGGTTGGCAGAAGAGTGATTAACTTGGGCTGCAAGCGTTTTTTCTTGAGTAGAAGGGAAGGAATTTATGAAAACCAGGAACCAGATCTCGCTTTACAAAAGCATCTTGACGCCTCCTCGCACATCCTCTCTCCGTGGCTAGTCATCAACTCAGAAAACACGTAAAAACGTCATTTACAATATTCATATATACAAATATATAATGTATACACACTCACTCAGACAGACACATACAGTCAGGAAAAAAAAAAAAAGTTAACTGACGGAAAGTTCCTCGAACTGTTGTTTGTCATTCCTGTAAATTCTTAGTGTGCTGACCATTTCACACCCACGTCTAATTGAAAGGATTATGCTCACTTGTTACACAGCATCAACTCTGGTTAGCGTCTCATCGAGCCACTTTATAAGCTCTCTTGACAGTTTTCTCTGCCATTAAACTGCGTGTGTTTTTACCCTCAAGTCACTTGATGCGAAAATCTCCCAAACTGGCCACTTTAAAAAACCAGTACATCCATCTACGTTTGTACAGCTTTGTGGGGAAAGATGCAACAAGTGGTTCAACACCAGCACGCACACACACACACACACACTCCTATCTTTAGGACAGCTCCGTCCACAAATGACTTCACAGTGCAATGGCAGTTTTTTTGTTAAGACAAACGTATATAAAAAGAAAAATGCATCCATCTATGCTATTTCTGTCCGTCAGTCTGTTTTCAAGAGTAAGTTGCAAATTCTTGGAGTACTTGTTCCTTTTCACGAAGAAACTGTAAACAGGAACATAATTCAATTACATCTTACGTGACCGATCCACCGCTCTTTGGCCTTTTACAGTAAGATGGAGTTGCTGTAATAACCACTACATTGTCTCATCTTTGTTTTAACCCCGCTTCCACAACGCGCCTCCCTCCCTCCATTTAAGAAATACACCAGCGAGTCCTTCAAGGAGGGACGTGAAAAACCAAAAACAGAATTAGTCACTGCCCCGAATTATCCTCCACCCACCCTCTTTTTCTGCAGCTCGACACCGAAGAGAGAAAAAAAAAGATCCTTTACTAAGTTCACCCTAAACTAGTAATACTGTTTCTGAACCCCCAACAGTGAGCCCCTTAAACTTTATATTTCTGTGCATTTATCTACAGGTACATGTAGAGAGAGTGGGGAGGGGCGACAGGGGGTTATTTCTTGCATAAACAAAATCAACAGAGCGGGTGAGCGGGTGGGCGGGCTGAGTATCCTAAAGTGAATCGGCCTTTGCCAGGAGGAGAAAACCATAAATTCCTGTATTTCATGTTTTTGGAAAATCAAACACAAATGCTCCATTTTCTCTCCCAAGTTAGTACCTGATAGGAAATATAAAATGAGTGCGTGTCTGCGGCTCGGGTTAAGTGTGTGAGAGTTTGTTTGTTTTTGTTTGCGCTCCTCCCTCCCGGTCGTCTATCCATCCTTCCATCCATCCATCCCTGTCCGGGCTCCATCACACGCTCAGCAGCCAGAAGAAGAAGAAAATGGCCACAAACAGGAAGAGGGAGTCTTGCCAGTTGTTATTGCCGTTGTTGAGGTTACCGTTGCCTTGGTGATCACCTGCATACTGGTCTAATGGGGACGGAGATGAATGGGAGAGGTTATTAGACCAGTGTCTCAGGGGATAATGTGTGTGCATCTGTACTCTTAATCACATCACCTGAGGGTAACAGCTGTGCTTTAATGGAGCTTTTTACTCCCACTGATAATCCGAATCATCTAATCACAGGGGTTTTATTATCTTTAACGCCATAAACGACTGCATTTCTCAGAGTGACATACAACTGCTAGCAACAATAAGGCCCACAATTATTTATTAAGTAGATCCAGATTTTTCAGTGGCCATGTTATAAATTAATAAATAAATCATTTATAAACATGGTCACTGAAAACTCTGGATTATGGTTGGCTGGAAGGCCTGGATTAACTTTTAGTAACGGTATAACCAGAGACCTATAATGCAGTAGTTAGTTTGCAGTTCTAAAATAATGCAATCGCAACAAATCCTGGAGGGACTGATGGTATAAATCACAAAAAATGGAGTTAAGTTTTGTTAGTTTGCCTGAATCTGAATGTCCATATCAACTACTGTAAAACCTTTCAGGGCCCTCAGACCCTCAAGGGCTGGTTTTGTGAACATGATTAGATCGGGTCTTCGCATGTTTACCTGCTCTGTGAAAGGGATCGTTAGTGTTGAAGACTGTGGTGAAGAAGCCGAAGGGGAAAGCACCGATGCCAAAAGACATGTGAAAGCCAGTGTCTCCGAAACCCTGGAACATCTGTGCACAGACAGAAAGACCGGGATAAAGTTTAACAACCTCATAAAAGAATAAAAAAATAAATTACTGTAAATTATGATGAGAAATGGGTTGATTCGCTCACCCCGCCTCTACTCTCTGGCTCTGTTCTCTGTCCCTGAGGCCGAGGTGGAGTTTTCAACCTGAACAGTGACAGAAACAGTCAGTGGATGATTATAAGGCTATTGTATTCGCTATTAAATTCACACACACAGCAAACACTCCTGGGGTACCTGGGGTCCTCTTGGCTGGAGCTCCCTCTGCCGTACAATGGGATGACTTTCTCTCTGCTGATGCCTGCTTTACAGACGGGACACTGCTGCCTGCTGGGCCGCGTCTCCAACCACTGAGAGGAGCAACAAAGGAACAAAGATGTCAAAATGTTTAGAACAGACGAGATAAACCTCTTTCTGCTGTGTTCTTGAAACAAACAAAGCCCTACTGTCTAAATACCGGGTTCAAAACCAACTACAACAGCTAAAATGTCCTAAAAAGTTAGTCTCTCCAGGATTTTGAGGGGCTTTTTTTAGGGATTGTTGCAGCCTTAAATGCATAATTTACCAGCAGCTTTTCTAAAAAGTTTCAATGTTTTTAGGCATTTGTTGGCATTTTAAAATTTGTTTTAATAAAAATGAAAGGCAACTTGTTCCAGTGAGAATAAAATCTGTTTGGAGGGTAAATGTGAGAGGTTCACGTTGCACGTCTGCATCTTCGTGACTAGAAACAAGGTCTGCAGTAGTCTTGTGCCTTGTGAATGTTTCCTGAAGCACATCGAGGATCTCCTGATTGCCTTAAAGCCCATTCACAACAAAAACCTCACTCCAGATTAAACAGTGAGTCATTGACAGCATACGGCTGCGATACTCTTTACTGAATCTGCGTAGTGCTTATGCTACTATACTGAGAGCAACCTACAGCTCTACATGTTAGAGAGCTGCAGTAAACAGACGCATTAAGTGCATTAGTGCATGTTTAAGCTGCGCTAAGTCAACTGACAGGTGTAGTTTCCATGCTGAGGTTACATCCTGCTGATTAGGTGAACTTCCAGAGGCGACATTAAAGGACCCCACTCAGCAACAGCCCACTCACACAGGTGCTTTCACTTGTGTCTGATTAGGGGCCTCCTCTCAGGACTGTGTGGG